TAATAATTTCTTTACGGATATAATTTTTAATATATATAATATTTATATTTTATTTTTTTATATATAAAATTTAATAATTCAATAAAAAATATTATTTTTTATATTATTGATACGATTCTTCCTATCTTAAATAAAAAATACTAAATAAACATACATTAAAAATAAATTAAGTATACTAGTTTAAGTTATTTTTGTGATGTTATTGTATAATTTTTATTATTTTCTATATATATATAAAATACTATTTACTGTCATTAAAATTAATTTTGATTATTATTTAAATACAAAATATAAACGTCAAAATCAACTAAACAAAATACTAACATAATTTATATACAAAATAAATATTTATAACCAACAGTTAAAATATATGACTAAAAATATTTTATTTTGAATTTTTTATTTCAATTTGAATTTATATTATTGTTAACGAGGTATTTTATGAAAAAAAATTATATTTTATTGAAAATCAGACGTAGATGTGCGTTGAGTTTTCAATAATAAAAATTTAAATTAAAATAGTTTTTGATTTGATAGTAATATATAATATAATATTTTGAATATATAATTAGATATTAATATAATATAAGAATAAAAAATTATTTGATTTTATATACTTTTAGAGATTTTTTAATAATAAAAATTGAGTGAAAATTCTACCAGCAAGCACACTTCTATTTTTGTTTTGTTTAATTTAAATACTACCTCCGTCCAGTTAAAAAATATATATATTTTTATTTTGGAACGTCCAATTACAAAGTAACCATTTCATTAAATACCTTGTTTTTTCTACAAATACTCCTATTTTATATCACATCATTACTTTTATACCAAAAAAGTAAGGGCAAAAATGTCATTTTACTACTTTTACCTACCCACTATAATTAAAATACTATTATTCCTTAATCTCCGCGCCAAAAGTAATTGTATACTTTTAGCTTAGACGGAGGGAGTATTATATTTTGTAAAAATCCAAAAAAGTTTGTAAAAATTATATAATAAAAAAATATAAAACCAAAATTCAAATATTCAGTGCATTTACTGAACTTGTTTGAGAACTCTTTCTCAACCTGTGAACTCATAGACTACAATAGTTATGTTTACCATTTTTGTCCGTTTAAAAAAAATAGTTTCATTTCCATAAATAACTATATCACTATAAAATTACTCATACTTTTTCATTATTATTACATAATTGTCACTATTTTTTACACTAATACACTCATAAGAACAAAAAATTTTTTTATCCGTACTTTTTACCCACTATCAATATAATATCAATATTCCTTAAATTACTTGCCAAACACAATACAAACTATAATTTTTGGTAAATAATTGTTTGAAAAAGTAATATATATATATATGTTTTAAAAATAAATTTTTAAATACTAATAAGAAAAAGGCTTTGGCCGTCCAAAAAAACAGTGAATAGAAAAAGGGTAAAAAAGTAAAGTAAAAATGAAAATTCAGTCAAAGAGAATAAATTTTAATTCCAAAAGATTAAAAAAGAAAAATTAAAAAGAAGAGATAAATTCCGTTAACTATACCTAACTCATTTCTTAATTAACTCCACACTGCCCAAAATATTGGGGGTTTGAACTTATTACCTCACGGTCATAAGTCCAACCCCAGACTATCCCAGACTATTCCTTATTGGACAAAAAAAAAAAAAAAAAAAAACATTTTATTAGGACACATGGAGTATTATAGTTGTGACTTGAAATTTATTTGAAATAAAGTATTGATTAAAGTTTTCCTTTAAATAGTATTTTGATATAATATTTTGTAAAAAAAATAGGTAAAATTGTTTATAACTCTCACATGGTTTTAAAATTTAGCATAAAATCTCTTTATATTTTAAAAATTGCATGTTACCCCTTATACTTTCAAAAACGTTTGAATGAAACTCCACTACCATGAAATGAAGATGGTTTAGGGTTTTCTATCTATATGTTTTGCATAAGACGTGGTTTTATACAATATTTTTTAAAGTATAAGAGGAACGTCATGCGACTTTTAAAAGTAAAATGAAGATTTACGATGAGTTTCGAAAAATAATAATTAACTCAATAAAAATTTAAAAATTATAAATATAAAGCTTAAAATATGATTAGAATGTAAAATAATTTTTTTTTAAAAAAATAAAATTGACATAATATGTAAGATAAACAAAAATAAAAAATATCAGTTGATACGTGGAACGGAGACAATATTTTCTTTATTGAAACTGATGAGTCATTTTAAAAAAACTTTCAATCATCAAAACATTTGTTTTGTTATCCAATCATGAACATTTATATAAAAAAAAAAAACTCAAAAAATTTGAGTTTTTTTTTTTTGAGTTTCGATTTAAATATTATTACAATATAAAATAATATAATATATTTTAAAAAATCATATCATATTATCAATTTTGATTTAGAGCCAAAAACCAAAGTTTGTTCGATCATATTTTGGTGTGTTTGGATATTTTAGTATTATTTGAAATAATATATATTTTTAATTAAACTAATTATGTATTTCATATAATATGAATATGTATATACTGTGATTCTTTTATTAGATTTTTTATTCATAGTATATTAAGTAAAACAATAGATATATGATGTAACATTTCAATAATAAAATAAAATAAAATAAAATAAATAAATTGTTTGAAATTAATAGCAAGTAAAACATAGAATAAAAATTGCAACCAAATCTTATGCTAGTATTTCTAATTTGAGACGTGCTAGATTTTTTTTTTTAATTTTTATTCTTTTACACTCTGATTTTTTTTCCCTATTTTACACTTTAAATAAAATTTATAAAATAATTTTACAATTTATTGATAGTAAATAATTTATCCACTCATAGTTTTATTATTTATATTTTAAAAAATAATAATCAATTATGCCACTATGTTTTATACTTATTTAATTACTTTTTTAATCATTTTTTAAATAATTTTTTACAATATCATAAATTTACTTTTTATCTATTTTACTTTTTATATTAAATTATTATTATTTTTTAGTTTATGTGCTCAAACAAATGACATATTAGCACGGATGAAGAAAGCAATAACTACTTATATATATCTATATATTAATATTTTACTATATAACTATAAAAAATTTCTATAAAATTATATATATATTACAAAATATTATAATTTAAAAAAAACACTATATAACAAACACACCTTAATAACGTAATATTTTAAATAAATTATAAATTATTGTATGAATAAGAATTTTTTGCTTTTATTTATATAATTTATGTATTTATATGGTATATTATATTCTATCTGAGGTAGAAATTGAGTATTTATTTTGTGAAAAAAATAGTTTAAAATTGTATAGTAAAATAATAAAAAAATATTTTAAATAAATAAATTAAAATAGTCGAACAAACCCTTATTTAATTAGGTTTGTTTTCAAAACCAATTTTTTATTAGTTAAATACATTATTAAAATAGAAAATATATTAACTTTTTTTTTTTTTATAAATTTATAATATCGATAAAATATTTATTACTTTCTATGAAAGTGCAGAATATTATTTTCCAATATATATTTTAAAATATTATGTTTCAAAACTATTTTAATATTTCATGTATAATAATATTAAAAAGATAATAATAATATAATAATAGAATTGGAAATAAATATTAAAAAAGGTAGTAATATTTGTAATTAATAGGAGAATTGATGTTACTCAAATAAATATTTTTTTATTGAACAGTAGAAAAATAGAAATATGAATTAAGATGGATAGGAGTATATGTTTACTTTTATTTTTTTATTGTTATAAAAAATATATAGTAAAAATTATTTATTATTTATTATTTATAGTATATATTTTTTAAAAAATTATTTTTATTAACATTCATGTCCAGATATTTAAATACACAGTTCAATTAGGAGGATATAATATTTACAAATATAGTATGAACCAGTCACTGTCTTGAACAGAAAATATAAATTCTATGTATATTCATGTGTTATATTTATATAATACACTCTCTGTCATCCAATTATGTGCTCATTTGACCGGATACGAATAAATATAGAAATATTTACTTTTTTTGGGTGAAAAAAATAGAAAAAAATGGTATTTTTTTACTAAAAATAAATTTTGATGACAAATAAAAAAGAAATGTGAGAAGATTTAGATAACAGATAATTAAAAAAAACGGATAACATATACTTCCTCTGTCCTAAAACAACATACATATTTTATATTTTAGATGAACACGAGAATTAAGAAATAATAATATTATATTGATAATGGGTTGAAAAATATTTTTAAAAGATCAAAATATTCATACTTTATATAATTATTACCAAAAGTGGGGAGCTAGTTATTAAAAATAAAAATGACACTATTGTTTTAAAACAGACAAAAATATAAAATAAAATTATTGTTTTGAAATACGAATTAGAGTTAATCTATAATAAAAAAATAAAACAATTATCTAATTTATATATCTTTTTTTTGGATGGCGTGGAACCCGCAGTCGCTATCTGAAAATGCACACTGGGTAAATTTCGGCCGAACCTAATATCCTGTAAACCAAGTCTGACGAGAAAGTCACGCTAGGCGAACCAATATCTGATTATATTTGCTATATACTATACTGGCAGCACAATACAAGATTTTGGGAGCGTAACAACCATAATCAATATAATACATCATATTATACATTTTTAACGTGTAAATAGTAAATATATTTGAAGATAATTATTTTACCCTAAGAATTAAAGACCATGCGCCGAACTTAACGCAGATGTGGGCCCACAACATTTTAAATTTTTTTTTTTTTTTCTTTTTAAAAATTATATTATTTAAAAATTAAAATTATGGAGCATCCACAATGGGTGATGGAGGAGGAATCGTCAATGGCAGAGACAGATATGTCAATTTTCTCTATAAATACACATTCTTGATTGCAACAAACACACACAGACACAGACACCTCTCTGACTCACCCCCTCCCCCCAATCTTGTCTATTTCTTACCCACCCCCCACCCCTATTCAATTATTTTTTTTTCAATTAATTAATTAAACCAACCGAGCTCAGCTAACCAGGCCAGCCATGGCGGTTGGTGTCGCCGTACAGGCCGACGGCCGCCACTACAACGGTCGAGTGACCGCCTACGTGCTCCTCTCTTGCATGATCGCCGCCTCCGGCGGAATAATTTTCGGCTACGATGTCGGCGTCTCCGGTAAGAATTTAATATTCTATATGTCCAATTTCGACTTTCCGATCCCCTCCGGTGCTGTTTTTACTGTTCTGTACAGTTACACTGTTTGTCGGAAAAGTAATTCGATTCTGACCGGCGGCGGTTACTTGCTGCAATAATTCAGGTGGGGTTAGTTCGATGGACCCGTTTCTCAAGAAATTCTTCTCAGGAGTTTACAGGAAGATGAAAGAAGACACTAAGATTAGCAATTATTGCAAATTCGACAGTCAGCTTCTGACAACCTTTACATCGTCGTTATACCTCGCCGGCCTAATCTCCTCCTTCCTCGCCGCCGTCGTCACGCGGGACTACGGCCGCCGGCCGTCGATCATCATCGGTGGCGTTGCCTACATGACCGGCGCCGCCGTCGGCGGCGCCTCCGTCAACATCTACATGCTCATCCTCGGCCGAATCTTGCTCGGCATCGGCCTTGGCTTCACGAACCAGGTCGGTTTTCAATCGATTTTATCCGCGATTTTTCGATTTCCGATTTAACGGAATTTTCGTCGTTTTCATCGTTGCAGTCCGTGCCGTTGTACTTGTCGGAAATGGCGCCGTCGAAGTACCGGGGAGCGTTCAACATCGCGTTCCAAATGTGCGTCGGCATTGGCAACAACATGGCGAATTTCATTAATTACGGCACCGTGAGGATCGCCGGCGGGTGGGGGTGGCGAATCTCGATCGCGATGGCGGGGGCCCCGGCGGCGTTGCTCGCATTCGGGGCGATTTTCTTACCCGAGACGCCGAGTAGCCTTGTCCAAAACTGCGACGATTCGGACAAGGCGGAGAAGGTGTTGAGGAAGATCCGAGGGACGGACGATGTCCGGGAGGAGCTCGAGGATCTCGTCGCGGCGAGCTACGCGTCGAAGGCGATAAAACATCCCTTCAAGAATTTATTACAAGCGAAGTACCGGCCGCAGTTGGTGATGTCTGTGGCGATGCCGTTTTTTCAGCAGATCACTGGGATTAATGTGGTCTCATTTTACGCGCCGTTACTTTTTCTAACAATAGGTTCCGGCGAGAATGCCTCTCTTTTATCGACGCTGGTGATTGGGCTTATCGGGTGTTTATTTACGCTTTTATCGGTGGTTTTAGTGGATCGGGTCGGGAGGCGGCCCCTATTCCACGTAGGCGGCGTGCAAATGTTTGTATCACTGATAATGATTGGGGCGATGATGGCGACTAAGCTCGGCGACCACGGCGCGATGGGGAAAGGGTATGCGATGTCGATACTTGTCCTAATATGCATCTACATATTAGGTTTCGGGTTGTCGTGGGGCCCGCTAGGGTGGGTGGTGACGAGCGAGATATTCCCGATGGAAATCCGGTCGGCCGCGCAAAGTATCGTGGTGGCGGTGAATTTGTCAATGACGTTCATCATCGCGCAAGGTTTTCTCGCAATGCTATGCCATATGAAGTCGGGGATTTTCTTCTTTTTCGGGGTGTGGGTGCTCGTGATGTCGGCGTTCGTTTATTACATGCTCCCGGAGACGAAGGGGATTCCGATCGAAAAGATGGATCAAATTTGGAGGGAACATTTCTTTTGGAAAAGGGTTGTTGGTGATGCCTATGAGGATGTTAAGATTGACACAACCTAAAGGTTTGGTTGATTTTGATTGAGTTTTAAGGTATTATTGTGTGATGTTCCCTTTTTCTAATGATTGTCGGAACTTATAATTACCGATCTTCGATTGCGCGCTGAGTAAATTCTGAAGTAATTAGTAGTTTAGAAACTACTCGAAAGTAGATTGTAATTGTGATATTTTTTTTACTTTTTGAGTATGTGCCGAGTAAATTTCCAACTGAATCTAGTAATTTATAAATTATATCCGTTAAAAAGACAAATCATACTGAGCGAGTAGAAATAGACTTAGGACATGTACAAACTTGGGGACATTTTTATTGTTGTGGTCTTTGTCTTGTCTTGTGGAAATATGCCCCTATTATGTGTCGAAACGTGTGTGTGTTAAGCCTATAGAAAATGAATTTTGTGTTGTGTGCACTTAATGCTTGTCTAATTTATTTTTATTTCTGGATTCTGTTTTTATTTTATTATTCTAATAAAATATACTAGTTCAATATTATATTAAAGCAATTAATTCATCCAAAAAAACACAAACAAACAAAATCAAATTTGAACCACTATTAAAAAAATTAAAAGAAAACATTCAAAGGATCATTATATATATATATATCATTATATAAAATACTATTTTTGACAATTGTTTCACCTAAAAAATAAAATAAAAATAATAACAAAGTGGAGTACCACTAAAATGAATTACAATTCTTAAAAATTTAAATAAATTAAATTATTTTTAATTAATTAAAATATTAGATGGCTAAAATTTATTCAACATATGCTTAATATAAATAACAAATTAGCACACAATCCTTTTCCAAATAAAAAAAAGATTCTTTTCAGTCCGACAAGGGATTGCCTGGTGGTGTAGGACGGCCTCAGGTCATCCTTATACACATGGTTCGCTTAGTGTGACTTTTTTGTTGAACCTGATTTGCAGGGTATTAGGTTCGGCAACCATTATATTATGTCAATGGTGGGTGAGGATTCTTTGACCATTTGATTGTGTGGTCTTAATTAGGTACAATATTTTTTAAAATAGAATCTCTTTATAATAGATCATATAATATAAAAAAGGCAAACCAATGTATCTTATTTTTAAAATATATATATTAGAAATTATATGATATGTTATGGAATCATATTTTACTATACAAATTTTAGAATCAGACAACCAACAACACTTTTTCTTGATATTATTATTATTATTATTATTATTATTATTATTATTATTATTATTATGATTATGATTATTATTATTATTTCTACTTTTTCAATTGTTTGTGCAAATTTTTTAATTTGAATTTGTTTAACCTCAATTCAATGTTGGAATTTTCCCAACATTATATCTTTTTTTACCATATAACTACTGTTAGTGATTCAACAATGCATTATTTAGTGTTTTTTGTTTTTGCTTGAATGAACCATAATTTGGTACTTATTTAAAAATTTGCTAATTAATGTTAATGGTAAATTACTTAGGAATTCTTTCATTAGTGGAGTACTAGAAGTAAGCTATGATATTGTCTTAAATATCATGGTCTCAATTAATGGAAATAATTTTTTCTTTTCCACACACCTATATTGGTATTAGAGATCTCATTTTTAGGAGCTGTGACAAAATTGATTTGAGCAATTCTTGAATTCTAATATGATAGTGAGGAATTAAGAGATGGATAGAAGATTCTTGAGAATGTAGGTCTATATGGAAGATTATGATTTTGATGTGCTGTGAAGATCAAATTGGAATCCGTTTTGATTTGATTGCCACTTCCCGTTTTGAACATGAGTTTGATGTGTTGTTAAGCTCAAGTTGGAATCCATTTTGATTTGATTTCCATTTTGCATTTTGATTATGATGATGTGTTATAAAGCCTAAGTTGGAGTCCAGCGTGTTAGAGTTTGGTTTAGGCATATATATATATATACTTAATGTATTTTTATTTTTAGTTAACACTCTAAAAATAATAGTGCAAAAATATGGCTTGGCCGCCCCCAGACCTAGATTATCCTAATTGAACATGATCACCAAATTATTTGTGTTCTTATGTGTTTTTTTTTTATTTTCTAATTTTCGCAACAACTGGTATCAGAGCCCTAGGTTTTGTTTGAGTAGGAGTCAAGATGAGCGATCATCCTTCTATCAAGTTATATGATGGAATGAACTTCGATTTCTGAAAGATGCGATGAAAGATTCTTTGTATGCTAAAAAAAATCTGAAGGTAGTGCTAAAGAAGAAACTTGGAGACAGATGAAGTCGAATACAAGAAATCAACAGAAAGACGATGATTACGATTTGACTAACCGTTTCAGAGAACTTTTGGTTTCACAGGGTTCAAGCAGAATTGACACCGGAGATTCTAAGAATAATGTCGGATATATACGAGAGAAACCGTGTGCTACAAATAAGATTTACCTGATGCAATTTTTTTTTTTTTTTTAACTTGAGGATGACCGAAAGAACTCTTGTTTATGTGCATCTGAACAAATTCAACCTAATCACTGCACAATTTTTGATCTGTGAATATTGAATTTGATTCAGATATCAAAGTTATAATCATGTTATCGTCTACGCTGGATAGTTGAGATTCGATAGTAAAACCCTTAAGTGTTGCTTCTCCTAGAAAGAAAAATATAAAGTTTGATACAATCACAGATCTAATCTTGAGGGAGGAGATTTCAGAGAATTTTGGGTATGAATACGAGATCTGAATCTGGATCCGGATCTCCTATAAATGCTTATATTATTTGGCTCTCTTTATTTGTTTGAATGAATTATAATATTAAGATATATTTTAAAATTTATATTATATTTAATTAATTATAAACATTTGTATGAAATTCTATTTATTGTATCAAGGATCCAACGTAAGTGCTGACCACCAATCTATGGCTGTATGATTGCTGCACTGTCTATGATCGATGTCTTATTTGACTATTGTTTTGATGAACTGATATAAGCACCAAGACGAGAGAAATTAAATCTTTCAATGCCTGATATAAATAAGTGAAAAAAAAAAAAAAAATGTCAAAGAAGGAAGAAAAAGTATCTAGCACACATTGCTATTTTCGATAAATATTTTTCTCACTTTTAAAATGGAATTTAATGAAGTTTGGACAAGTCAAACTCGTTTTCATATGCTTTGATATTTGACATTATAGGGTGTGTTTGTTTGGAGGATCGGATTAGATTTTCACTATTCATCATATTTTTTTCTCCAAAAACATCAAATTAAACACCTATTTTTCATTTTACATTCAAAGCATCACATCAACATCTATTTATATCACATCATACAACTATTCAAATTCAAAATTTTTACTATTCAAATTCCAACTTAAAATCCAAATCCCTAAACAAATACACCCATGTTTATCTAAGAGTAGCCGCATCGGGCGGTTCTCTTATGCCCATTATCGCCGCTTCAACTATTTTTTTTTTTATTTAAAAAAGTCAAAATTGCTCCTCCGTTGTTCTACGCAGCAAACAAGGAGCAACTTTTTTTTTTAAAGTATTATTTTATTTGTTTTCATTCAAAGTATTTTTTTATTATTTCTATCTGTCATATTTTAAAATATCCATTTTATTTTAAAAAATAGTAATCATACATTAATAGCCTTTAACTTTACTTAAATTACAAACATATCATTACATATACAATTACTTTATACATAAAGTCAAAAGACAAAAAATATCAAATTTTTTTACACACTTTCACTAACCAAATATTATATTTTAATCTATTATAGAACTCCAAAAAGTCTCGTTGAATTGAGACGGAGAGAGTACTTATTAAGTTAATTATTTTTGTTTTTTTTTTTGTTTTTTTTTTTTTTTTTTTATATTTTGTATTATATATAAGATTTTATTTTCTACATTATGATATATATTGAAGGTGTTCTAGCAATATGTTCCGTTGACGAACGCCAATGGGTTTGTTTATTAAACTTAAAAGAAAGAGATTTCAAAGAGTGTTGAAGAAGGAGATGATGGTGAGTTGCTAACATCGACATTACGGTCCCTCTTGACCATCTTCAATCTTGCCTTCTCCATGTTTGAACTTGAGACATTACCAACTGTCATTCTTGTGAAGATGACTTTATTAACGTCTGCCTTCGGTCATAGACAGTCTTGAACTGAAGGCTTTGACGGCTGAGTGCTAAGTCCGTCTCTCATAAGCTCTTTAGTCGACATGATATTAGCAGTAGGAATAAACCCTTTGGTTAGCTCTAATGCCGGACACAAATATTTCTTTCCATTTGCTAATTTTGTAGCCAAAGCTCTGCCTTTGTAAAGCTCTTTTCGTTTGAAGTCGCTAGAGCTTCTGCCCCTGTAGGCTCCTTTTTCGTATGGAGAGCCTTTGCCCTTGTAGACTTTTTCTCATATGAAGTTTCCATGGCCTCTAGAGCCTGTGTCCCGGTAGACTTTTTTTCGTCCGGAGCCTTCATAGCTTCTGTAGTCTCTACTTTTGTAGCCTCCTTTTCGTATGGAAGTGAATTTTCCACACTCAAAGTGGCGCTAGGCTTCTCTTGAAACTTTCTTTTTGAAAATACTCTACTTATGCAATTTGGTATGAAATTAACGTCCATTGGAATTGGCCTTCTGTTAATTTGGTGGCAACGGCTGCACTCTAGCTGCCCGCTGATGAAAGGTGTGCGGCGGCTGCATCTGTGCAACCTGCCCTTCTTGCCCCCATATTTCGACGGTCCTCATCAATTGGAGATTAGCCACGTATGGACTGTGACATCTCCATGGCGGTGTTGGCACATTTCACATAGGTTGTCCGTTGAATCGCCCTGGCGGGATCATGCCAATTTTTGAAAATTCGCTTGCTCATCGTGGAGGCTTATACTGCTCTCCAAAACTCCAACGGCCAAGAGGCTCTAGCCCTCCGCAGGCTGTTGGCTCCAACCTCCTGCCTGCCCCGGCCCTGAGGCCTGAAGCATATAATGTCTTGTGATAATTCCGTAGCTTTCTTCCAGCGGTATAAATGAACCCCTTGTAAGCCTTGACATTATTTTTCATAAAATCCAACTTTGGTCCCACTGGGCGTGCCAATTGTTGAAGCAAAAAATTCAGATGCTTTAAGATAATTCGTTGACTCGGTTGGTGTGAGTTCCGGAAGCACTCCAAAGAGCCTGTCCATCGTCGGATTAGGGGGCAGCTCCGGCAGTGCAGTCTGCATTGCTTCGAGCCTAAACAGATAATTTCGATGGATTTAACCTAAAATTTACTGGAAACATAAATTAACATGAAACTAAACTTAAATTAACAAAAAAACAATATAAAGTAGGACACAATTGGATAAACTTCTTGTTGTGTGTGTTGTGTTTTATTTTGCCATATTTATCCTAACATAAGCAACTACCCCTAAATTCTAGGGAGAGTATTATAGTTAGTCTTTCAAACTCCCTAATTC